CTTGTTCGAGCACGAATCTCGATGCAAAATCAAGTTGAAAACTTCAAAAATTAATTCAGAGACCATCTCAACTCTAATTTCAGCAAACTTATACTCAAACTGAGCGTCTCGGAAATATGAACCCAACAAAGCCAAATTTAGCTCAATCCGTGCCCAAATGAGTCCAAATCAAGGACCTGAAGCGTTGTTGGAAGGTTCAAACCACAATTGGATTACCAAACGGTTTCCAAACATAACGAGCATATACTTGAATCGAGCGGCTCGACGAAACGAATCCAACAAGCCTAAGATCACCAAATTTCGACATCATTAAGGTCTTCAAATTTCTAACGAACGGTACATGATCAAGGGATTCAAGATCGGCCGTCCATCCAACCACTCCTAACTATCCTCCACCTATTTACGGGCCATGCCATTCCCAAAATCTATAAATAGAGCCCCCTCTCCTCTTGAAAAAGAACCCTAAGCCTAAGGAAAAAAGATAGAGATCGTAGATCTCTCTTGCTTCCTTACCTCCTCGACCACCACCGGAGTTTCGCCGGACCACCACTTGAGGCCCTCACCTCCGCCGGACCACCACCTGATGTCGTTGCTCCACCGGACCACCACCTAAGGCCCTCACCTCCGCCGGACCACCGCCTGACGCCATTGGTCCACCGAACCACCACTTGAGGCCCTCACCTCCGCCGGACCACCGCCTGACGCCGTTGCTCCGTCGAACCACCACTTGAGGCTCTCACCACCGCCTGACGTCGTTGCTCTGCCGGACCACCATCTAAGGCCCTCACCTCCACCAGACCACCGCCTGACGTCGTTGCTCCTCCGGACCACCACCTAAGGCCCTCACCTCCGCTGGACCACCGCTTGACGTCGTTTCTCCGCCAGACCACCACCTAAGGTCCTCACCTCCGCCGGACCACCGCCTGATGCCATTGCTCCGTCGGACCACCACTTGAGGCCCTCACCTCTGTCGGATCACCGCCTGACGCTGTTTCTCCGCCGAACCACCATCTGAGGCCCTCACCTCCGCCGGACCACTGCCTAACGCCGTTGCTCCGTCGGACCACCACTTAAGGCCCTCACCTCCGCCGGACCACCGTCTGGCGCCGTTGCTCCACCGGACTACCACTTAAAGCCCTGTGCTCCACCAGGCCACCACATGAAGCCCAGAATTCCACTATACTACAACCTGACGCCCAGACTTCTTTCAGGCCACCACTTGATGCCGAGAGTTCTCCTGAAGTATCGCTCTCCTATAACAGTCTTTCAGACCCTGGTCTCTTGCTGACTACGGTCCTCCAGATCTCCGTCGCCTACTACGGTCACTCCGACCTCCATCACCATACAACGGTCTTTCAAACCCTGATATCCTGCCAACAATGGTCTTTCAGACCCTGGTCTCCTACCGACTACGGTCTTCCCAACCTCTGTCGCCTACTAAGGTCACTCCGACCTCCATCACCATACAACGGTCTTTCAGATCCCGGTATCTTGCCAACAATGGTCTTTCAGACTCTGGTCTCCTACAGACTACGGTCCTCCCAACCTCCATCGCCTACTACGGTCACTCTGACCTCCATCACCAGACAACGGTCTTTTTGACCCCGGTCTCCTACTGATTACGGTCCTTTTGACCTCCATCACCTACTATGGTCCATCTGACCTCAATAATTAGACAACTGTCTTTTTGACCCCGATCTCCTGCCGACTACAATCATTATGACCTCCATCACCTATTATGGTCCTCCCGACCTCCATCAACAGACAACGATCTTTCTGACCCCGATCTTCTGCTGACTACGGTCCTTCTGACCTCTGTCTCTTGCCGACAATGATCCTTCCAACCAAACAAACATGTTTATGTTGATTTTTGTAATTACCACAATGTAATGCGTTCTATATAACATACATTTGTAACATCAAGCTAAGTCCATCTCCCTAAGATAGGCTTCATTTGTAATCGACTATAAATACTAGTGGATTCATTCAAACTGGGCTAGGCCCTGTGGTTTTTCCCCCTTTTTAAGGGGTTTTCCACGTAAAAATCCTGGTGTCTTATGAATGCTACACTTTCTCACTTATCTGATTGTGTGCTAGATCTTCGTACAATGCTAAGACGTTAAACTATATATTTCTCTACCACCGCGAATACTCCAGGACACAACAATAGTATATCTCTTCAACAAATTCGAAGATTAGAAGATCGATTTACCATAAAACTTCATAGCAATAATCTCTACTTTTGAACTACCATTTATTCAAGATTAGTAACAAACTTCTGATTACATAGGTTTCATCGTAAGTAAATTATTGAAAAAAGGGAGTTTTACATACATACTATTTTATTTTATGCTACTTACATATCTAACACCCAAAATATTAATATTACATGACTACCACCCATAGAACAAATTTAGGTGCAAGCAATGAAATATTAAAGTTTATAGGATGGTATGAATGATAGAAAATGAATTATAGAAGTGATATATTTGATATTAAAGTTGTATATGAATGGTAGGCATGTAATATTAATGTTTTGTGTGTTAAATATGTAAATAGTATGAAATAAAGTGGTATGTATGTAAATTTTCCAAAAAAAATAAAAAAATGGATATTAAAAGAGAACTCTAATATAAAAAGCAAATGATATATGAAGTCTTAATACGAATTTTAAATTTTATTTAAACTCAAAAATCTAAATTTGAAATCTCATTAAACATAATGTTACTTGTTATAATCTTATTCTAATTATATTTGTAACATCTTTAAAAAATTATTTAAATTATGCTTACATTTATTCAATTTATATTCTAATCATATTAAAATTTTATTTAAATCTTATTTAAAATCTTATTCCAATTATAGTCATAAATGCTTATAAAATAAATTTTTTTAATAATTATATATTTCATATAACAAATACCCACCACCAAAAATAGTTCATAAATCTCAAACAAAATAACAATTTCCTCCTTGATACGCTTACTCTACATTAGTTCTTTTCTTGGCCTTTTCATGCCTCCTATCTCAATCTTCGCCTCACAAGAAGCAACGTTGCCTTAAGCGTACATGAAAAAGGAGGGTATATATAGAACTAACAATGCTTCATTGACGTATTAATAAAATTATATTTTAGAAGTCTCAGATCTTCTTCAGCTCATTGATTTTTTTATAGGAAAAGCAGCGAGAGTGAGACGGAGAGAGAGAGAGATAGATCAGTGAGAGAGATGGGTCTCCTCTCGTGTAGAGTGGAGAGATCGGAGATAAAGGCGGGAGATCACATCTACAGTTGGAGAGCTCTGTACACTTACTCCCTTCACGGTTCGTTTCTCATCTTTGATCTCCTTCGTTCTCGGAGTTTTCCAATTGTTTCTCTGGAATTTCTCTTCTTTTCCTTTTTCTTTTGTGTTTTGTTGTTGACATTGGGTTACCTTATCTGGCTTGAGGAAATGTCGGGTAGGGATGGGCCATTTGGCTGAATTACCCAATCTGGCGGACTGGATTAGGTTTAGTATTAACTAGAAAAGAGAATTTGATCTGTGAAATGTTAGTCCTTCAAGGTTCTAAACACTGTAAAATGAATAATTGCTTTGTTTTTATCATGCTATTCGTTTGTGTGAAATGTAAATCTGTAGTATGTTGAGCGTAGTTTCTCAATTGAATGCTGAATGCTGCTAGCCGTGGCAATTTGATTTGGATGCATTTGGTGAATTTCTTTTGAGGTTGTTGCTTGCTTAACGTTTGAAGGATTGCCTTGTTCCTAAGAAAGCTCGTTTCTTTTCTTCATTTGATGGTAATACCATTGTGTTATGTAAAGCTCATGCACATGTGAAAGAGCATCCTTTATGCCATTCATTTGGGGACAAAAGAAGGAAGATGTGCATTTCTATTGCTTTCTCTTTTGGAACTTTTTCTAATGATTTATTCCTTCTCGAAATATGATCCTTCAATTTTGTCAGATCAACTGTTTTTTTTTTTTCTTCCTTTGCTTTAGATATACTGCTAGCCATGGCAATTTTGGGTGCTACGTTGCTCTCTTTGTTGATGGTTGTTTGGGTTCTGGATCGGTCAGCTGGTTCAAATGTTGGTGATTGTTTATGTATCTGCTATGTTGGTTATTATTGGCGCCTCAGTTCTTATGTTCTCAGATGGGCCTTGGAGCTCTCTTTTGGATCTTTTGATTTGGTTGCTATTCCCAGTCACTATTGCTTGTGCCTATTCATTCAGTTGCTCTCCCTCTGCAGTTCAATCGCATTCATCTATTTCCAAGCTTCATTCTTTTTTGTTGGTTTGTCGTTTGGCCTTGTTTGGTATTACTTTATCCTTTTTATGTAACTAGGAAGGGATATTAAACTCCTTTGGATTTAGCTTTTTGAGCATTTAATGAGTTTTCGATCCCTTTTGAAGGACTTTGTAACTTTTTTTCTATATTAATGCGTAAGCCATTTGTGGTAATCAAAATAATAATAATAATAATAATTTTGACTTGAATTTGAAAAGGAAATAAGTTTGAATAAGATTTAAAATTCAATGAATGCTTATGCTTTGCTTGAAAATAAATGAATGAATTTAATCAATATTCTACTCAAGTTAATTTAATTTATTTATAACCCTAAACATTAATCAATAATAAAATGAAAAAATTACCCTAAACATTAATTCATTGGGCTAAAAAAAAATTCAATAATTGTTTCATTTCAAGAAATCAACAAGAAATAAAAAAAAATCTACTTAGAGTTCATTTTTATATGATCAAAATCGGAAATCTAGCGACATATAATGGAATATTAAAGAAGAATATATTTATATATATAAAGGGACCACATAGTGATACCTAAATAAAATTAAGTATATCAATCAAGTGATACAAACTGGTTCATGCTGAAATATTATGCATTCTTCACATTTCATATATATCAAACAAATAAGATAAGATAAGAAGAAAGAAATTTGCTTTTGTGTTTTGAAATTTTCATTAAAGTAGTTGGACCTAGCTATTATCAGTAAACAAATTGGATATGAGGAATGTGAGCAATCTTGTGCCGATCGAAGCCTCCATCCTCTCGATAGAGCTCCTTTAACTCTGGATGACATCCCCAAATATATAGATATTCTAAAGAGGAAGGAAGGTTCGGTAATTCCCGAAGCATAGGAACGTCATAACCAATATATAGTTTCTTAAGTGAAAACAAGCTTTCCAAGGAGGAAGGGAGAGACTGCAAGGATTTGAGATCTGAAAATCTCAGCTCAGAAAGAGAAGACCTAACTTTCAGAAACCATTGCTCCGCCTCATTTGTAAATGAAACCAGCTCATCATTATTCTCAATAATCAGCTTTTTTAAGGAGGCGATACTTCTCAATGGCTCCATTAGCAACACCGATGGATCACTTATTTCAAGAACGCTGAGCATGAGATGGCAATTATTAGTGGTCTCCACTTGTCGATATCTTCCGAGAGAGATCAGATTGGGGCAATATCTAATTTCCAAGTATCTTAGTGCTGCAAGTCTTGCTATTTCATCAGCCAGAGGAAGAGATGTAATGTTTGGACAGTGAAAGACCTCTAATGTTTCAAGAGGAATAGGATTTGAATTGCTACAAAAATTCAAAGTCGTCCACCCAGTGCTTTCTATCCGCAAGCTCTTGAGCACAGAAGGCAAAGAGGGCAACTCTTTCAACTTCGGGCAGTCAAATAGCTCCAGTTCAATTAAGCAAGGAAACAAACATCCATCTTCAGCTGGTACTCCTGCCTCAAACCAATCCTCTAATGCTTTTAAGTAGCTAATATGTAACACTTCTAGCGTTGGAAAGGCATGGCATTTATCATTCCCATTAAATTTACTTTCGAGCCATTTTACCTTCGGCATGTTAGAAAGTGTCAGTGACTTGAGGAAGGGAAGTTGCCCAAAAGGTGGAAGAGTTTCACACTCCAAGCAATCTGTAAATTCGATTTTCTCAATTTTCTCTATATTGGAGAGCAGATTAACATTGTTCATCCATATTGCAGACCTTGCACCCATGTATCTCTTTATGCTCAGATTCCTTAGACATTTTGGTGGCTGAAGGTTGTTGAGCACGTTCTCATCTAAATCGATGTTCCTCGAATCAGTGTTACTCCAACATAAGGTTAAATCTGTGAGCCTCCACTTGGCAGATAATTTGGCACTACTAGCCTCCTCGGCATCCTTAACATTTTCAAGGCAATTGATTCCTAATTTGCAAAGATCATTCATATTCTCCAGCTCTCCAATTCTATAACCACTCGTATCTCTAAGATCAAACATATACATTTCTTGAAGAGACTTTAGCTTCCCAATCCCACATATCAATGAAATATAATTCACGGGCAATCCCATGTAACGCAAGTTTAAAAGGTTACTAATGTCACTTAGTAAAAAATCATCACCTACAGTATGTCCATAATGGATTAGGTATTGCAAGTGATAGAGATTACTTAGAGATCTTGGCAGCATGGTCAAATCATAACAATCAATCTTCAAGTATCGAAGATGTATCAAATTTCCAATCTCTTCAGGTATTATTTTCAAGTCTTCTAGAGAACATATGTATAATAAGCGTAGGCTTCTCGATACTTTGAATATTTCAATAAGTGCATTGCAAAGATCCTGATTAGAAGCTTCATAGAACAAGAAAAGAGAATGCAAATATTTAAACTGCCCAATCTTTTTTATGATGTCTGGATTTATATTTTGAACAGACAAGTGTCGAAGAGTCTTAGGAATTATAGAAGACAACTTTGCACCATCCTCAACTCTTAAACATTCATGTATGGAAACTAATTGTGCCAATTCATGTATTAAATCATGCATCTTGTAATATTGTCTAAAATGGCGTTCAAACTTATCAAAGAAAGATTTTTTAACCAAAACATCAAAATACATTCCTCCAATATCCTCCATAGTCCATTCTTGATCATGAGGTTGCTGAATGAAACCCAATGAAATCCACATTCGGACTAAATCATCTTTATCAAACCTATAATCTTGTCGAAATATAGAACAAAGAGCGAAACAATTTTGTAGATATTTTGGGAGGAACGTATAGCTCAATCTTAAAATGAGAAAGATGTCATTTTGACCCAATTTTGAACTTACAAAATCACTATTTAAAACTTTTGTCCAATGTCTTTCATCCAAGCTAGAATTCAAAACACCACCGATGACCTTTGCAGCCAATGGAGATCCTGAAAGTTTTTTAACTATTTCTCCAGCAATGGATCTTAATCTTTGATAATCGTTAGGATTCTCTACATCAGCAAATGCATGAGAGTTGAGGAGCTGCAAACACTGATATTCCTGCAAGCCCTCTAATCTAAATATTTTAGTATTCTTTTTAATGACCTTTGCAATCATCATTGCAACTGAATCCATTCGAGTTGTTACCAAAATTCTACTACCAATTTTCCCATAAGCCAGAGGGGCGAGCACCTTCTCCCATTTGCTGATATCCTGCTTCTCCTCCTCCCAAATGTCATCCAAAATAAGTAAGAACTTTTTGGACATAATCTCAGTCCGAAGATTATTTTGAAGTGTATCAAGTGTCTCCAAATGAATCCTCTCGTTTTTAAGAGATTCCAACATATCCGCAATGACTTTTTTCACATCAAAGTTGTTGGAAACGCAAACCCACATTTTCTGATCAAATTCCTTTGTCATTTCATCTTCATAGACATGTTGCAAGAGAGTTGTCTTCCCCATACCACCATGGCCCACTATAGATAGAAGAGAAATGTTTCTGTACAAATCAGTTCCATTAACAAGAGCTTGATGTTCCTCATTTGATAGCTTCCTCAACCACTGCATAACAAAGTCCTTCTGCTCGTCTCGCCCGATGAGATCATTTGTAGGCAAGGATCCCGTTTCACGCTCAAGCTGCTGCTCCTGATGCTCCTGCTTTAACTCTCTTACAAGATAAAGGAAAGTATCAACAGTAGTTGAAACTCTATCAAGTTTCTGCACAACCGCCTTCAGTTTCTTCAAGTTGGGATCAATTTTGAGAGCACGTTTGGCAATTTTGACAAGTCTTTTATTTATGGATTTCATGATGGAACGCACCTTTCTCTGCTTCTTGTCTTTGGTCAGCTGTTTTTCAAGCTTCATGTACTCGAGATCATCCAACACATCATCCGCCTCATCGATAGCATCTCGTAGCTGCCATAGCCATTCGTTGAGAGCCGGATTTCGGTCTCTGATCTGCTCTTGGCTGGAAGCAAAGTTCACCACAGCTTGGATCTTGGGGTGGTTCTCTCGCAGCCTTTCGAGCTCCTCCTTCATGCCTGTCTGCCATCTGACTTGATCTCCCAGGTACTGAAAGCCAGTGTTGATGAGCTTCTCTATGATTGGAGCACCAAACCATTCTGCCATGGCGCCGGACAAGGAAGATCAGAACAATTCAACAAGGGGAGAGGAGAGAGAAAAGAAGAAAGTTGAGGGAGGTGGGGAGAAAGCAAGAAAACCCTCGCACTAATTGAGGGTAGCTTTGAAAGTTTGCTGATTGATGACAATTAATGATGCTTGTGGACTGTAATTAAATCATTTCACATTGTAATTAATTTTTTTTTCCCCCAAAAAAAAAATTAATTTTTTTTAAGTATCAATTCATATTTGACTTTAGTGACACTGATGAAGACTCTATAAGCTAATATATGATTATAAATCTTGATTAGCCCCAATTAAATCTTACTACAATTAAAAATAAAAATTTGCGACAATATGATCATTTTTATAATTTTTATTATTTAAAATTTTAAAAATGATCAAAAACTAAAAAACTAATTTATAATTATCATTGATTAATTTCAAATTAATTCTGAGTCTTGAGGACATATGACAACTTTACAACAAAAGATCTGAAAGAATTTTATAATATTAATGATAAGATATTCTCTTTTATTTTAAACATTGAGTAATAATAATTCTAAAATAACAAATTTATACAAGCACAATAGAGATAATCGTACAGATCAAAAAAAAAAATTTACTTTAATTTCTCCCTCAAGTTTAAGGACACCGAAATGTACTCAGTCTAATCTAAGCTCACTCCATTAACAACTAAATAATCATTTTATATTTTAGTTATTTAAATAAATTAAAAAGCACTAACATATTGACAAAAATAAACAAACAAGGCTTCATTGGAGACATCTTTCTTACTACTTTTTAAAGCCACTTTTTAGTACAAATATTTTTATTCAAAAAATTTTTATACTAAAATATTATTTTAGAAAGCATTACAAATATTATCCCAAAATAAAGCTTAAATCTTTATGCATTGACTATTACTTAATTCTCCAAGTCTTTAGTAAAGCTTTAACAAAAAAAAAAAAAAAAAGAATTTGAAATTTGAGAAACACCAAATAACAACAGCATCAAACCTTTGTTCCACTGCGTGGGGTTGGCTATATGTGTTCTTTTTCTCTGTTGTGTCATGATAAAAGTAAAATTTTCATTTCAATCTAATAAAGAAAGATCATTTCTAATATTTTCTAACCAATACCTTTTAGGTCTACCTCTACCTTAACATAGATTTAATCTAATACATACTTTCCTTAAAGGCCGTTGTTTTATGTGTCCAAACCATCTAAGGCGACTCTCTCTAATCTTATCTTCCACTGGAGCTACTCCAACCTTTTTACGTATATGCTTATTTTGTATCTTATCTCTAAGGGTAAAGTCACTCATCCACCTGAGCATCCTCATCTCCGCATCACTTAACTTAGTATTATGCTTCTATTTTAATGGACAACATTCGGCACCATAAAGCATTGCAGGTCTCATGTAAAACCCCCTCCAAAGCTGATTTTTTTTAGTGCAGTTAGTCCGTACGAACTG